TGATTGCTGCTGCTTGCTGCTACTGCTGATTGCTGCTACTGCCGCTGCTTGCTGCTGCTGCTGCTGCTGCTGCTGCCTTACTGCTGCCGCTGCTTGCTGCTGCTGCTGCTGCTTCTGCTTTGCTGGCTGCTGTTGCTGGGGTGGTTGTTCATTGCATGTGTTGGGGCTTTCGGGGCGGGCACTGTTGGTGCTTTCTTTCTCTGCCCTCAACCATGACAAGTCTCCACCCTCTTTCAATTTCGTTGCGCAGCCCCCCCGAAACTGCACGAAAACCAAGGGTTGTGGAGGCCAAACTTGTGTGTGCTTTGGTGCTTTGCTGCTGCTGCTGCTACTACTGCTGCTGCTGCTCCTGCTGCTGCTGCTTTCTGCTTTGCTGTGCTGCAGCTGCTGCTGCTGTTGCTGCCGCTGCTGTCACTGCTTCCGCTGCCGCCGCCGCTGGTGCTGCTGCTGGTGCTGGTGCTACCTTTTTGCTTTGCTGCTGCTGCTTTGCTGGTTTGCTGCTTCCGCTGGCTGCTTGCTCCTGCTCAGAAACTTCCACCTCTACCTTTCGTCCACCTCCGTCGCCTCAAGTATGTGTGTAGTTTGATTCTCTACCACAAAGACACCACCACCGTTGGATCGCGCACATTCCGCTACTTGTTCTTCAAGTTTCTAGAACACCTCGCCTCGGCCTTTCAGAAATAAGTTTCATTGCAGCATCCGGCTTGAACCATTCATAGATGCATCTTGGTGGGCAATTTTAGAAAGCCTGTGTGCATACCCGCGTGCCTTTTGTTATTTAACACTTTGAAATGCGTGATCGCGTCATACATAACTCCCACGGGAAGTGCTGAGGAAGCCGACCTTGAGATCGAGATAGTGCAGCGCTTGGGAAAGACCTTTCGCGCTAATCGAACAAATGTGTTCTCCATTCTGTACTTGTCGTTGTGCGAGGTGCGCCGGGACAAAGCCCAAGCTGCCAGAGAGAAAGAATTGTTAGCGGTCTGGCACTTGGGGTGCATGTTTCTGTCGCTCAGGTATCGCACACATATTATGTATATATATATGCGTAATGGTTTACCGTTGAACGGAATTTATTTCACCAATTTTGGCAGGTGCGTGGACAGTTCGACAAAGCCAGAATCACTTGGGAAAGCAAAGAACGAGAACTGGAGGCAGAGGGTGAGAGGCTGCTCATTCTGGCATGCTCAGCTCCAAGATTGAAGTTGTCAGGTGCTTGTTCGTACAAGGGACCGATTGGTTACTTCTCTCAAGAATGAGATCGAATTGGTTGCAGAATCTTGGGAAGTAAAGTATCCAGGTGGCACTAAAAGTTTTTTGTTTTTTTTTTCAAGGTTTGACCTGGTCGTTTGCTCTCCGAGGTATGACAAGCTCCTCAGCCTTTTCGACAAGCTGCAAAAGAAGTATGACGAACTGTTTGGACCCCAGCACTGCAAATGCTAAGCAGCAATGTCCAGATCGCCAAGACATTTGTGGAACTTTTCCCGAATGTATAGCGAAGGGTTCTTGTTTGAAGTGAGGTCATGTTTGCTCGACGGTGCTGACTTTTCAAAGTGTGTGGCATCGGTGTCGTTTCGTAATTAAATTCTGATTAAACTTAGATTAGTTTTACTTATAATTCTATTGAATTCTTGTTTATAGTAGCTTCTTGTTCCTGGTAGTGAGGCCAGGAGCCCCTAGTAGCGATGCCGTTTGTGTGTTTTCAGGTGCAGCATTTCGTAAGGTCTACAGACAGCGTCATGACAGGTCCCAGCTCAAGTTGTGACTTTGGTGGATCCGCTAGAAAGTGTTGACGGTTGCAAGCGTGTGGAGGGAGGGAGTTTTGCTATACGCACGAAAGTGTGGAGTCGCTATTCTGCGGCAGTCGCAGGGCTTTGTGCGTGTTCGAGGTGTTTGGACTCAGGTTTTCAAGGCATGACGAGGGAGGGGCTACACTTGGTGAGGGTATGGATCGCTGTGCCATTCAGATTTTTGCAGCTTGGCTGCGTAGTGTGTGGGCGCTTCGATGACAGTTTCCGCCTGACTTTTGGAGGACATTTTGTGCAGGAAACCTCGCAGGCCAGAGTGCCACACACAAGTGTCCGAAAAGAGTGTCAAGCAAGAGTGTCCTACAAGACAGAGCGTCGCACAAGGGTGCTGCGAGAGTGCTCTAGAAGAGTCTCGCGCAAAAGTGCCCTACGCAAGAGTGCCCCACAAGAACTACAACAGTCGGTTGGCTGCATCTTGTTTTTCAATCCAAGCCTGCGTTTGTTTTGACTTGCCAGTGCCATGTGTGCACAGTGATGATGCTAAGGCTCGGTCCAGGCGGGCTGGCTGAAGTGCCTGCCTTAAAATGCCTGAACATCACAACAGAGTAGCCACTGCTCATAGTGCCAATGTCTTCCAAACCCCGGGCACTTTTTTCACACCCAGTCTTGCATGTGTACGTGCGTGTGCATTCTTCTACACGTGCACGTGTGCATTCGTGCGTGCATGCGTGTCCTTTGAGGCTCTGCGAAGAGCACGAGACTTGAAGGACTTTGCAAGGGTATTGCTGCCGTGACAGTCGGCGGCCACAAGCCAAGTTCTTTCCTTGCAGGAAGTGCAATTTAAGGGGCCAACCAGAAACCAGAATCATGCCAATCAAGGATTACCTTCAACACTTCGTTCACTTTGTTCTGCGTACTGTGTACTGAATACAATGTCTTAAAACAGAAACGGCAGCATTTTGCATTCAACAGTAGCTGCTGGTTCTTCAGACTCTCAGCCGTGCGAGTTGCAAGTAAATTGCAAAATCATTGTGGACACCATTCTTGGATCAAGAAGTTGCTCCCACAACACAGGTACAAAGCGGACATACCTTGGCTGCCTTGACTTCTGGAATCTCAAACAGTTGTTTTGTGCCCAATCGGAATTCTTTGGATGCTTTAGGGTCCAATGCGAAAGGATATATTTTTTTCCCCGTTGGAAAACAGTCTAAAGTCTGGACCTTAAGCGTTCACATGTTAATAATTTTAGACAAAACAAAATCTAACCTAAAAGGACTAGCTTGGCGTGGACGATTTTAGAAGAGAGGGAGTAAAGACACAAGAACTGCTGGTCTTTTAAGGGAAACTTACAGTATAAGTCTTGTTTTTTGTCAAAAAAAACGAGGTCCTCTAACTCTATAGAGGTTATAGGCTTGAAGAGGTTGCGCGGTTGATTAAAGAAAAAATATGTTTTTGTTTTGTAGTCCTTGGCTCTGCAAATGGTTTACCATCCATGCCCGTCCCAGAAGACGACCAATATAGATCAATTTAGAGCAGAATACACAATTTCAAACACTATCACTCCAGCCTCAATACAAAGGCACGCGTTCGTTGTTTATTACTTTTGTTTTTTCTCACATAGCTAGCCACCCGTGGTGCTTACCAGTGGCCCAACCCTTCCCAAGACCTTGCGCCCCCAATTTTAGAGATGTATTTGCGGACAGGTCCACCAATGAAACAATGAGCTTTTGTCCATGTGTGTAACATGTCAGGTTTCGCGATGCCGCAGGAGGAACAAAAGCCCGAGAGCTACTAAATTTGGTAGCGGAGCCGCCATAGAGCAGATCCAGGGCAAAGCATTTTTCGTAACACCCTTTCGCGCCTGCGTGAATTTTACTTTTCTTGTCCTGCATGTCTTGCTGCCGTGTTGCGAGGTTGTCGAGCCCTTCTCGCATTGCGTTGAAAGTTGTGTTGGACAAAGCGTTGAGCATTGCATTCGACAGCGCAATGAACAAAGCATTGAGCATTGCATCGGACTGCGCGTTGACCATTGCATTGAACATTGCGCGAGCTGTTGTGCATTGCTTTGGACGTTGTGTTGTTGAGCGTTGCCGCAATACAGATTTTGACATGTCGGTGCCACAGACTTCTGGTATCCCACTCATGGAGTACAAAAAGGGCTGCCCACCAGGATGGGGACCTGGAGACAACATGAACGGCGAAGAAGATGTCATCCACGACGCATGGCAAGTTCCTGAAGCTCAGCAACCTCTGCGACACAAATGGGCTGGTGTCACGATCTTCGGGATGAAGCAGAAGGAGAAAGACCATGACATCAGCGAGATCTACGTTGGAAGAGTTGGCCAACTATGTGTCATGCCTTTCCTGAACACATCACCGAAGAGAAGCGCAAGTACCTGGAGAAATTCTACAGGGCCGTTTCCAGAGAGTTCTATTCCAAGTTGAAGAGAAAGCCCATTACTCCGGCAAATTGCTTTCAGTGGGCAAAGAAGCATAGAGGACAACGTTTCCTCTCCTGAAAACTATGCGCTGGGAGCTCACGGCTCTCACTCTTGGCGCTCCTCTCAGGACTATGTGTCACGTTCCCCGTCGACTTCAGGTATGGCTGAGACATTGGCCACACTCCTCATCAACACCTTCTTCGGCAAGTCTACGATGAACTCCAACCAGACGTCATTTTTGGTTCACCGAATTGTCGACCATGGTCAGTTTCCTCCAATCAGAAACCACCTCACCTACAACAGCTGAGGAAAGAAGAAGAACCAGGACTGCGACTCTCGGAGGAATTCTGTCATCGACAAGTTCAAGGATTGCTTCTACCTTCTTGGGTCATCATCATTGTGGACAAGATTGCAGAAAGTTCCATCAACCTGCTCACGAACAGGTCAGTGCTGTTCGATGCGATGGTTGAACAGCAGCAGCCGACCTTGAAGCCCACAGGTCTTCAATCCAATTGAGCACTTCAACAAAGTGTCAAACGATGTGGAGGCCATAGTCAACCACATGCATGGCAAACGAATGGATGCAATCGCGCTACCATTGCTGCTGCTGTCTATCCCATCAAGCTCTGTCGTGCCATCTTGAAGGATGTGAAGAAGATGATCAAATACCAGCAGACCATCTTCTACGGCTGTGAAAGATGCCAACTTGGCAGAGCTGCGCCGTGGCGCATGGAACATTCCTTTCTTCCAGGAGATTGCCGCTGTGGACGCTTTCCCACAGAGCATCCTAAGTCCAAAAAAAACAAAGTAGAACAGAAGAAACAAGATGTTAGAGAAGCTTTTCGTCAAGAAGCTCTGTCTTTCAAGAAAGTCAATGAAGGCACGATTCCTGAGATCGGTCTAAATGCAGAGCAGACCTTTCTCCTCAAATACTCCTCGCAGATCTTGCAGTACAGCGTGGAAGAGTTCGATGACCCAGAGAGCAAAAACCCTGACTATGTTCATTTGGGTCACAGATCCGGTCGTGCTCTCATGGACCAGGGATCTGTGAGAACCACCTGAAGTTCTGCGGTGTTTGTGCATTGATCAAACCATGGACAAAGCCTACTCCAACGCCCAGGCTTCGTCCTGATTCCTCCTTCCTGAGGCTGACGATCAGAGGCACTGTGTCACAATGGCGAATGATGCCGATAGAAGATCTTCGTGATCTCAGTCGCAGCCAATGCCATGAACCAGTTGACTTTGATGAAGATTGGTTGGTTTGTTTCTTTGGAGCCTACCCCTCTCAGTCATCAAGGCCGAAGGCCAAAGAGCAAACCACAGCAACAGCAGAAGACAAAGCGACCGCATCAGCAGCAGCAGAGAAGCCAGCGCAAGCCGGTGATCAGCCGACTGCTTTGAAGCCTCACTATGACTCCAAGAAGATCTACGACAAACTTCCAAAGTTGGCAGCGACAGACGTCGCCAAAGCCAAACGACTTCTACTTGGACTACATGAACGAATGTGGCGCTGATGGACTTCCAGAACCTGCTCAGACGCTGCGGACAGCCCACCGAAGTGAGTGTGCCACTAGACGACCGCAGTTCAAGAGCAGCCTGGCTGAGAATTTTCAATGAAAATGCGCAGATCGATGGTTTCCAGTTCAAAGGCAGCCAATACCTGTTGATGATCGACGAAGCAACTCGATACAAGGTCACTTCCAGGACGTGAACTTCATCGCTGCCTGTCCGTGCTGCAGACTCCTTGGCTGAGATACTTTGGGCCGATGAAGAGCATCACCATGGAGCAAGAATCAATCGATGCTGGAGCCGACTTCGACAGGTTTGGCATCAATAGAATTCCTGCTGGAACCACTAGTGGTCGGGAAGGACAGAAGCACTCTGGCACTGGCCTCGTTGAAAAGCACATCGACTTGATCAAGACGACCGTGTCAAAGATCCTTGCAGAGGCAGCGCGATACAACGTCGTTGTCGAACCCAATGAGCTTTCAGCTGAAGCTGAAATGTCCCACAACATGACATTGAATGTGGGAGATGGATACACACCGAGCATGTGTGGCCTCGGCGTGTTGCCAAGAGGATATCTAGATCCTCAAGAAGTCCCTCTTTCTGCAGGTGATCTTGGTCATGAACTTTCAACCTTTGAGCAGATCTCTCTGCAGTGCGCTCAAACAAGCATTCTTGAAGAAGACCGCGTCACAAGAGCATCTGTCAAGATCGAGACCGTCAAGAGTTGATCTTGGTGAACTCAAACTAGGATCATCAGAAGTTGAGATTTTCCGAGACGATGGCAGCCATGGATGGCGGTCCTGCATTGCTTCTGAAGATCAACGAAGGTCAAGGCACAGTCATTGTCGAGTACCAGGGGCGACCATACCTGATGTCCATCAGACACACACGTCCCCATACAGAGGTTCCTTTCTGGTTGGTTTCTATGATCAGAACGACGACGACTCCATGGCAGAAAATGTCAAGACACTTCAGAAGTTTGTTGAAGACTGCGTGCCATACAAGAGCCATACCATTGGAGTGATCCTGGACATTGATGTGAACAAAGAGCAGAAATGGCGACAAGTTCCTCTGCAACCGGCCAGCAGAGAACGACGCATGCTGCAGAAGGCAGTTCGCATTGCCAAGCGCGTCAGCAAAGGTTCTCTGCAGGGCATTAAAAATGGAAGAGGAGTCGAGACCATCTATGTGCCCAAGTTTTCCAAGGGCATCCTGCGCTCATGGCCTGAGAACTCCACACAGTACACCATGATAGAACAACAACATGATCGTCACTTGGCAGTGAAGCGAGTCATGCCACCTGTACTTGTACTTTATGGTGAGGAACCCATGGCTCGACCTGCTCCAGTGACGACAAGACATGCACCAGAACCACAGTCTATGACTGCAGATGAAGACGCTGAGATGGAAGAGAACCTCAAGAGAGACGCTCCAGACTCACGAGCCGTTGTCCTCGCACCAGAGAAGAAAAGACAGCGGACACATTTCACCATCTCTGAACAGCAGCTCCTCACGCAGTCAGTCCACTGGATGTTGAGAAGACCCACGCAGATTCAATATCAGCAGGTTCGAAAGAAGGGCCAGATCAGTGAGTCTGTTGGGTAACCTAGATAAATATATTGTTGTTTGATATCATTCAATATTTTATAATATCATTTGGTATAATTTATGTTTTTGATTGGTTTTCTGGGTGCAGCAAATCAAAAGCAAACTTGAAAAAGGTTTGGTAGGCAGGGCGCCAAAAACGGAGCCCCAAACCAAAAGCGCAAAGCAAACTTGCAAGATAAGCGTTGCGCGACGTGGGGAACCAAACATAA